TTAGGTTCTTAAAGTACAGAAAATAAGACTTAAGGAATATTATTGTTTGCTTAATAAAAAGAGGATAAAAGCCTAAGTTTTTAGTTGGGTTTTATGTGCCAACTTTATTTGTTTGGTTATGTTTTATTTAAACAATTTTACTCTTATATTTAATTAAAAAGGTTTTTCGCTGTTATCGCCTTAAAGAAGTTGGACAAATTAGTACAACTCATCCAATAAGTTGGTACCAATGCAGAGAACTCACCAAAAGAAATCACATTACAGAGGTTTTAGGGAAATGGACAGTTAACAGAGATGCTACACATTTTAAATACATTTATTTACTTCCCCGAGTTCTTTTGGTTAACTTTCAAAACATTCAGGGTACGTTCACACTGCAGGCCTTGATGGTCAATTCCGATTTTTTTGTGAAATCGAATTTTTTGCGTTGCCGTCCACACTTCAAAATATATGCGACTTGTATGTGATCTTCTGTGTGAACTGCAGTCATACAGCTTAAGTGTCCCGCATGCGCAGTAGAGGACGCAATGACGTCACAGGCCGTCGTGCTTCGTGTTTACGGAAGTAAACATGGACGTAGTACCGGAGCGTATCTAGCGATCTTTCCAAACCTTAAAACCTCAATCATTTTAAGATGGTTAAACATAAACACTGCTTTCCACATCATCATCTGCCATGGTGTGTGTTTTTCTTGCCGCTTCTATGTAGCAAGAAGCAGAATAGTGACCTTTGTCGGGTATTAATGACGTTCTGGTCAGATGAATGCGACCTGGCCGCATTTGAAAAGATCAGATTCATATCGGATTCAGGACCACATAGCCAAGTAGCCTGGGTCGCATTGGAAAAAAATCGGATCTGTGCTGTTCAGACAGCCATGAAAAGATCAGATACAGGTCGCATATGGGCAAAAGAATTCTGATTAATATATAGAGATAGATAGACAGATATTCCTGGAGCAGAGTGTGCTGGAGTTCATGAACTGCATTGTGCCCACTCCATGCAATCCAGTTCTCTCTATGATCCTTCTCTCCAAACACATAGTTTCATTTATTTATTTATTTTTTTTACTTTTAACAAGTCTCTCCATTGAATGGAGCAATAATCGGCGCAAGGTGACTTTCTGTGTAGAAGCTACCAGTTACCATTGGCTGACAATTGCAAAGGGGATTTTGATTGTCTTTTTTTTATTTATTTACAGTCAATTTACTTGTTTATACCCAAGGGCAAACGCTNGGAGGAAGCAGTGACTAGCATAAACCTACATGCTAGGCTACAATGAGAAGGAAGGAAAACTGCGTTTCTTTATCGAACTTTTATCGACTCTCTTTTTTTCTATTGCGCCACACGTCTATCGATCGATATATATCGTTATTGAATTATCGCCCAGCCCTATTCTGGTCAGATGAATGCGACCTGGCCGCATTTGAAAAGATCAGATTCATTTCGGATTCAGGACCACATAGCCAAATAGCCTGGGTCGCATTGGAAAAAACAACGGATCTGTGCTGTTCAGACAGCCATGAAAAGATCAGATACAGGTCGCATATGGGCAAATAAATTCTGATAATATATAGAGATAGATAGATGGATATTCCTGGAGCAGAGCGGGCTGGAGTTCATGTACTGCATTGTGCCCACTCCATGCAATCCAGTTCTCTCTATGGTCCTTCTCTCCAAACACAAAGTTTCATTTATTTATTTTTTTTTACTTTTAACAAGTCTCTCCATTGAATGGAGCGATAAACGGCGCAAAGTGACTTTCTGTATAGAAGTTACATGTAGCACTGTACCACTATCTAACAAGAGGAGGAGGTACACGCTTTCCTAAGACCCGCCCTCTTCTTCTGATTGGCTAATACTGTTAGTTTCAATGCCCTCCTTTGTTACCATTGGCTGACAATTGCAAAGGGGATTTTGATTGTCTTTTTTTTATTTATTTACAGTCAATTTACTTGTTTATACCCAAGGGCAAACGCTACGAGCAGGAAATCCGGCCTGTGGCCGGAATACTTTAATCCCTGCACATATGAGCAATAGTTTGTGGTCTGCTGTAATTTCATTATCTGTAATGTGATTAACTAGCTGCCCCAGTGGATGCCCAGCCTTCATATAGATGATAATGGGAACTTCAGAAAACAATGGAGAGATTAATTATTTGCAATAAAGGAGCAAGAAAATTATTAAATAAGGCAGCCATATAAAGCGTATTATTATTCTGAGGAAAAGTTAAATACGTCCATCGAACAAAACACTAATCACAACAATCATTTTTTTCCCCCCACACGTTACCATAAAACCTTCAGCCAATTTAATTCTAAGATGTAAGATTCAAAGCCAATTTACTAAAGCCAATCAGCAACAATCATATCAAAGCTTCCCATCCTCCTAATGTCAAGCAGCTCTAATGTAGTCCCAGAGAAAAACACGCAGTCATCAAAGCTATGATGGAGCACTTAGATTGCTTTAACTTTTACTTCTGCAGATTTTCTTAAATTAGGATGCAGATTTTAGCTACTTTGCATTTGGCTTCATTTTACAAGATTAAAAAAATACAACAAAGACAAATCTTACTGAATAGCAGCACAGGATACTTAACAAGTGGTGGGAAATTGATGAATGGTTTTCAACACTTTTTGCAGAACTGCCTTACGCTGCGATTCTTTAGGGTAAAGCCTCTAGCAGTTCTGCATAATGCACAGAGATTATTCTTATCCTTTTTTTTATGTGATTGCACGGTATCTATATTCAAAACTTATTTTGCTCTTCCTGTACAGTACTTATATTTTAAATTTTTTCTCCACTTTATCCTGTCCTTTTTTAAACACTTTTCATGTCTATACTAGGGCTATCAGGCGCTTAAAAATTATCTAATAAATGTAGGAGTGGAATAATCTATAATTTAAATAATTAAATCAACTAATTTATTAATCAATTAATGGTTAAATGGAGTATAGAGACTCTAAAACATGTTTTTAGCTGACAGAGCGACCCACTTAGAGCAGCAATTATACAAAATGTATTTATTTAAGATAAACTTTTTCATCTGTCAACATGCTCTATCAAGATCCCCACAAGAGGAAAAGGTTTAGTTTCACCTACTTTCATTCTTTGAAAAAAAAGTCCCTAAGATACCTTTTGGTATATGATTATTAATCGATTAATTGAAAAAAAAAATCAACAGATTAATCGATTTGTAAAATAATCGTTAGTTGCAATCTAATTGATCGAATTTTAATCTCATATGCGCTAAAGCAGTTCAGGGGAACAATTGTCCTAAGGGTCGCAGTCCTTTAAGTTTTCCACGCACCCCTGCTCAACCACAGCCTACTAAGATCTGTACAGTGGCTCCTTGGTTAGAACTTCCCCCAACATGTTTTCCATTTATATATGTCAAACTGAAGACGCTTCAATTATAAGGTAATTGGTTTTTTACAATAATTACAAATCACTTGCTATGGTTGACAGTCCTGTCTTCATTCATTTAGATGTCAAATTTGCAGTTCAAAGGCTCTTGTAATGCCTTGCTCCCCCTGAGTCGCATCCGTTACGTCCACAACGCGCTTTGGCCAGTGATACAGGTGGAAAATGACAACATGTCTTCTGTTGATGTTGGAAAACAGCTTTATGTGCATTACACCCACAACCTGCCCGGGGTCATTCAGTGGGCCAAATATGAACTGTTCATGCATTGAACTGGCACTCTGAATTAATCATGAATATTTTTTTTTATTACACATTCATTTGGAGTGCAATTAATTAATCTAATTGACCGCCCTAGTTTTCGTTCCCCTTTTTCTGCCAGCATTGTCCTTTATTCGATCAATCTTCCCCTAAAAACAGATCAGCTTTCTCAGCTGTAGAAAGCATCCCCAGAGCATGATGCTGCCCCCTCCATGTTTTACCCTTATAGCTTTTGGATGAATATCTAGTGAAGGAAATGCTTTAATGTGTCGTTTCCATTGCCTTTTTTAGGTTTTAAACTAAAGAAAAATATAAACCATTTGCAAACAGCGGACGTAAATTAAAATTTTTTCCCTTTTTTTGTTTATTTATGTAACAAAGGACAAAGTTTTCAACTTATGGCAAGAAAAACAGACCTAAAGAATATTACTTTTTATCATTTTTAACCTTAGTTATTAAGAGGAACCATCTGTAGGTATGTGACTGCAGGTTGCACCGCCCTGGGCTACATTTATGGACTGTCAGAAGATAAGAGGATTCCCTCACATCAGCTGTGTTTCTCTGCAGCTCCTCCACAAAGAACATCAGTTCAAGATGGGTAAATATGCTAAACATAAATACACAACTGCACACTATTCTAACATAAATACACAACTGCACACTATTCTGTGTTCTACTACAGAAAAAAACAACATAAATGTCATTATCTTTGACTATGCATGCTTCTTCATTACAGATTCTGCTGCCATCTGACAAGGAGGGGGAAAAAAAACTATTATAAAACTACAATGCATTTAAGTGAAGCCCTGAGGGTCTCACTGGGTGAATAAACCACAAACACACATTCCTCTGCAAGAAAATGCACAGCAGCCACACAGGGGAGGGATTAATTGATAGAGGAGAGGTGGAGGGACAGAAAGAAGCCAGGGAATGAAAGGATGGCTGGCAGGCCAAAGTGTTGGAGAAGTAGGGAGGAGGGGGGAAGAAAACTCTGGCTTCAGTCCTGAGGGAAAGAAGGGGCAAGGATTTCACCAGATGATGGAGGAGGGAGGGAGGGATGAGGATTAGGGGTAAAAAAGAAAAAGCAGCAGAGACAGGGAATGCCTCCTATTGTGATGATGATGATGATGTTTAGTGAGAAATGTCCCAAAACCTACAGGAAGCCAATGATGTTAATCAGCAGTCCTTGTGTAGAATGATTGTTTTCACTGCAGATTCGGTTCCTGATCATGCATCAGGTTCACTTTGATCAAATAAGATTTTTGTACTTTTCATGCAATGCAAAAAAAACTTTAGAGAGTAAAATCAGAGCAGCTCACCCAAAGTCTTGGTCCATAGACTTAAAGAAGAATTTGTAGTTTGGCTTGTTGAGGACCTGTTTAAAATCCAGCAGGGTGATATTTTCTGCAGCTATGGGGATCTTCACCAAGTACGGGGTCTCCTCTTCGTCGATGTGATAAATTATTTTGGTCTCCGCCATCTCTGCGCTGGTAAAGCTGGACGTTTTCCCGGACACAGAGAGGAGGGGGGCTCAGCTAGGTAGCTAGCGAGATGAAGCTCTGACGGAGGGGGCCGCGGAGATTTTTTCAGCACGAGCTCACGGGACACAAAGCTGTGGAAAAGTCCTCCTAAACCTCCGTGGACGATTTTTCCCTCCTACCGACGCTCATTCCCTCCGTTACCGAGGGGCGGAAAACGGTAAAAACACGCTACATCCACACGGCTAAAACTTCCAACAACTTTTCCCCCAACAAAAACATAAAGAGGCGGAGGGAAAAGGGGAGGGGGGGTCTAGGAACGTTTCACCGCTTGTTGCGGGCCAACGCGGCGTGTGACGTCATGACGTTGCCCCCAAAGTTTTCTTTTTTACGTGCTGTCCCAGGCTCTCTTCACCAGGTAGAGAGCTCAAGGAGTGCTAAGCATAAAAAAAATATTTCTTACAGTTTTGATTTTCTTATATATATATATATATATATATATATATATATATATATATATATATATATATATATATATATTCTTTTTTTTGAAAGTTAAGTTTCTGTTATGTTTATATCAGTAATAATTCAATTTATAATCAGAAGCCTCCTGTCTGCAGCACTGTCTGCGGTCACCTTCAGTTTGGGAGAGGTGCAGCAGAGTGTCTGCGGAGGGGCAGGGACGTCTCTGCGTTCATCCCCAACACACATGCAGAGGACCTAATTTCAGCCTTTACTTCTCAATGCGGCCAACCCGGGTTCATATCAGACCTGTGTTCCTTTGCCGCATATTTCTCCCCCTCTCTCGTACCCCCTTTCCTGTCAGCCTACTGTCTGAAAAATAAAGCCATTAGTGCGGTAAAAACTCAAAAAAACAAAGAAAAAAAGGAAACACCTACTCATATCTTGGTTTATTGTGTGATTGTTTAATGTTACGTCATAGTGTGCATAATGGGATGAAATGATAAACTGATGCTACTACCATTTTCACTGGCGAGTCGGGTTGCCCGTGGGATGGCCAGGGCATTGCACAGGTTGGCCATGGCCACCCCTGGCCACCCCCTGTTGGTGCCACTGGGGTCACTGAAAAAAATCTATTTTATTGTACATTTGAATTATAGAATTTTAAAAAACCTTTTTTGAAAAATGTCTTTTAATTGTACATTTCATGTATTAAACACAAATGTATTATCAAGTACTATTTCTAAATGAATATTTATAAAAAAAACTATTTATAAATCTCATTATAAATATCTTTCCTAATCACACATTTAAAAAGGAAATATTTTATTCTGTTTTATCTTTTCATTTACCCTCTCCATTTACCTTTTCCCCTTCTGGTCCCTGAGCATACTGAAAACCAGATAATCAAATCGCAGTTGATGTAACCAGCTCTCTCACTGGTTAGACCGCCACACTTAGTTTAAAAATGGATTAATAAATACAATTTACAAACCCTCTTTATTAATTCAATTTAAATTTTGCAATTAGAAAACACCTTAAAAAATGGATTTCTAATAGTATGATTGAAATTTTTTTGTTTTTGTTTTTTCAGTGACTCTCCTGGTCCTCTGTATTCTCAGGGTTCTTCTGTGGAAAAGTAAAAGAAAAAATCCTCCTTGTTAAGGCCTATGTTCTTCAAAGTTTCTGCATTTTTTATGCAAATAAAATATTGTACTATATTTATAAATGTATTGTATTTGTTTAATAACACTTTTAACGAGAGAGATAAGGAAAGGTGCATTTTAATGTTAATGAATGTTGAATTTAAATGAAAATAATAAACGTCAGAATGGATTTGATCTTTTTCTACATTCTCATCTTAATTTTTAAAATAGTTTAAAATTCAGCTGAAATGTTAATAATGAATATTATATTTATAAAAATGGTGTCAAATGATTTCTGCTAAATCTGCCTATCTTGAACAACTGAACACTTCTAATAAAAAGAAATATAAATACATACAGACACAAAAAGGGTAAGTGCACAGGATTAACTAACCATTATGGAATCTAAGGGCCTACAGAAAACTTCTGCTTATTTTTCATCCCAGGAACTATTTTACAAATTAATAAAAGGACAAAGGGAAGATATATGTGTTGCTGTAGTAATAATTATGATTATAATATGAAAAAAAAAAAACTGTTTTACACTGCTGTACCTTTTGACATTTGGGTAGGTAAAGCAGAAATCGTTAGCAGAACAGTTATCGTAGAATTACATCCTGTGTAATAACATTTTTAAACCTCGCTTGTAATTAAACAAAAGGTTTCTCTAACCAGCCACTTAATTAGGTACTGCTTGTTATCACAGATAGCATTGAGCACTGTATTGTTTGCTGTACCCTATGAGGTTTTTAAAGTTTTTTTTAGAAATAGCTATATTATTACTGAGATTTTCCTGCACAACCTTAACTTAGATTTACAGAGAAAATATCCAGTGTACAGTAGTTGTTTGGACAAAAAGGAGCTTTTGTAATGGGGGGAGAGGGGAATGGACAAACTGGTTCCAGTGGATAGAGCGACAACAGACGTTCATATAATTACCCTCATTACAACCAGATTATGTAGAGACCATCTTTCAGTTTTCACTCCTGTCGGCTGGGAATGGAAAACTGAGGTAGCTTGCACAGATTCTTACTTAAAATCGGACCATGAAAGTTTGGAAAAAAATACTCCCTGGTCAACTGAGTCAGAATTTCATCCACGATATTCAGATGGTAAACCACATTTAAGCGATGATCATCAGGTTTTTTCTGTAGTTCAGGCTGCTAGTGGTGCTGGCTATTATGGTGCGAGCACATGGCGCAGTAACTCTTCAGCAAATATTAAACATCTTTTAAGCATCACAGCCTTATGACCGACCATCCCTATAAGAGAATGTAGCCATTTTATTATGGCCATAGAAAAGAACATGAAAACTGGTATTTTGTTCTTTATCATCTGATTTATTAATTTATTAATTTAACCTTTATTTTTTCCAAGAAAGAAATCCATTGAGATTTGGAATATCTTTTACAAGGACGTCCTGCCCAACAAGTAAAAAAACATACAAGGTACAAGACAACGTGCAAACATAAACATTATTCATAAAAGTAACAGTTAAGTTGAATTATTTACATTAAAATATAAAGAAATAAAACATAAAACGCAATAAAAAAATTCATGAATAAATGTTACAGGTGCAAGAACAGTTTTTAGTTTTTGTTAGATAAAGGAGTAAGAGGCTCTAGCCTCAGCTTTCCTTACTCCGTTATGCACACAGGGTACCTTAAACTACAGCCAGCTACTGGACCTGAGACTGTATGTGTTCTGGAAAAGCAAAATCAATAAATATATGATGGTAATTTTACTAAAATGGCTTTGCATATAAAATATACCAATCCTCCATTCTTCAAAATTTAGTGAAGTAAATCCAGCAAGAGTATATAAAGTACAACGGTGAGTCGTATGGGAATAAACCTGTGATATACCTCAGAGCAACATGGTAAATCGGCCCATTTTAGCTAAAGTAGTTGGACAAGCAGCATAGATTGTTTCTCATTAGTCTAACTGTGATTTAAAAAAAAATTGCATGCTTTTCTTTTTAAACAAATATGCAATTTGTTGTTTAAAATAAGGGTCTTTGTCTAGCCAAATACTAATGCATCTACAACTTCTATGGTATTACCATCCAGGGCTTTAATAGGTGGGATAATACAGCAGAATTATAAGAAACAACATAGCTTTGGTTTAACTGGCATTGATGACCAGCTGTGACTCACAAAGAGCCTTTTGAAAGCTGATAAAATCAGGCTGATTTAGCGTGAACTGCATCTAGAGAGGGTCCAAACGAATATAGAATTGTATCGTCTGCATACATACGGTAAGAGGAGAATTTAAGCTGATCACAGAATTTGATCTGAGCTCAGCAGAGCAGCTTTATGATGGCAGTGGTGGACAGTGACAGAGTACATTTAATTGATTACTATACTGAAGTACATTTCTGATATCTTTACTTCACTTGAGTACATTTCTAAGAAGCTAGTTGTTACTCGTTCCTTTTGGCTCAGCTTAACTTTGCAACCCACTGTTGCTGTTTTTCTCTCTTGAAATGCAATTGGCCACATTATGTCTCTCACAAAGTTCCTCCTTAAGAACAGATATCCTCGATGTTTTAGTAATCTCTCTTTTTCAACACACCTGGGTCAAATGTTAATTCATTAGCAAACAGATGTGAAACCTTGACATGCTGAGGATGTAGTAGCACCTCCAGGGAGAAGAACTAAAACCTGCAGCCTTTGAGGACTGAATTTGGACTCCACTGTTTTAAAAATGCAAATACATTCCACTATGTGAGAAACTCAGGGTAGATATTATTTGTAGTTTATACATTTTATTAAGGCGTTACTCTTTGCCATGTAGCCAAGTTGTTCAGTAGGATGAGTTCTCAAAGCATAGTTCTAGTTTCTTTTTAGAAGTAGATTCATCAACCTTAAACCTCTTTTCCATAGTGAATGTCTGAGGAGAATCAAGGCACTTCTGCTTCCCTTCTTTGTGTGTTTAAAAAAAAAGAAAAATCAGAATAGCTGTCCTTATTTTTTGTGGCACCTTAATGCTAAAGTTCTTTACAGGTATTGTAGAATTGGTAACAGGTGGTTCTAGGCATCAATACATCAGCTGGTTTCTGAAAGTACTTTTGAATACTTAAGTATTTTCAAAAGTAATTACTCTGAAGTTGAACTTGAGATTTTTGACTGAGCAACTTTTACTTGCAGTTGAGTAAGAGTATCAATACTTTTACTCAAGTACTATAATTGAGTTCCTCGTCCACCACTGTGTGAAGGAATGGAAAATCTGCACCATGGATGTGCAACAGACCTGTCCAGGTACTATATTATGGAGATAGGCACCAGCACCCCTCTTGACCCCGCTTGGTATAAGCGCGACGGAAAATGGATTGATGGATGGACGTGCAACAAACAGGTTTGTAGCAACTTTTGGATAATATCATGTGTAGCAAGATTTCTAAGGAATGTTTCTGGCACCTTGTGAATCCAATAAAGTGGGCGACTATACAAACAACACACTAGAGGGAGCTCTTCCTCCATGTAAAAAGAATGTAGCAAGAACAGCAATCATCTACTCTTAGGACATTTCAGTTTCTCACAGTCTAAATAGAAACAACTTTAAAATAGTCTTTATGAGTATCTGTTATTGAAGTAACCGGTTAGAAATGCCTGTTAAAGAAATGTGGGCCAAACACCACGCCGACCACACAGGTGATCACAAACAGCACCCAAAAGATGACGGCCAGGAGCTGCACACACATCAGGGTCCTTCTGCTCTGTTGAATGACCCCCTCCTCGCTCACCAGGCCAGGAGCCGTTCCATACGGCCTGTCTGGATGCATCTGCTGGACCTGCAGGCTGACTGTGGGCATGATGATATAGCGGCTATCACTGCTGTTGCTGTTGCTGTTGCCGCCCTCCAACGAGAGCATTACCCGCTGTGTAACCGTGGCCACGTGGGTGGCAACTGTGGCAGGCATCCGGAAGGCCACCCGGGGTAGCCTGGACATGATTTGAGAATTGCAGGGTAAAGCAAGGGCATTTCCGGTATGGAGAGGGGTTAAATGGCGGCATAGGGGACAGGGGATGGCTTGTGCGCTGCCGCCAGGGTCAGTGGGGTCACAGGAGTTGAGCTGGATCCTCTGCAGGCATTCTGTGCAGAAGACGTGGAGGCACTCAAGCATGCGGGGGCTTTTGTTATACTGGTTATACTCCTGGTAGCAGATTGGACATTCCAAATCCATGGCCTCCCCAGGGCCAGTGGTGGGGCAGAGAGCTGCAGCTGATTCTCCCTGCTGAGACCCTGGGACAACATCCCCCAGCATGAGGACTTGACAGAGCTGAACTTTAGGGAAAGATTTGGATGATTTTATTTTTGCTTTTTGCTTTTTTTTTTCACAAAAGCTGGGAAGATCTGAAAAGAGAAAAAAAGGTCAAGAATAAACTGTTTTTCCAACTGAAAGAGTTCCAGGAAATTAGGCTTTTTGTAACCAGCATCTGTTCCCTCCTTAATAACCTCTTTGTTTGTACAAGTTAAATGAACAGATTCAAGTCATGAGTTACGGCATTTCCCCACTTAAAGCCACTCCTTCATGCTGTGTGTGCATGACTGCACAGCATGCGGGAAGCAAAAGGAAAAAAAAAAAGATATGTGAAAGAAGCTAATAAGTCACTATATTCCTTTTTCTACATGTTTATCTGTGCCAGAGCACGTTCGCTGATTTTTGGTTAGGTCATTCAAAGGAGCTTTCTGCTGACTGAGTGAACATCAATAATCAGGGGAAGTACATAGAATACGACAAAGCCATGAAAAGGGAATTTACGTATTTTAAAAAACCCCACAAAAAACCTAGATGGATAAATTACAGGAAGCAAGAAATGGAAATTATTATTATTGTTAATTGGGGAACCAACTTTTCAAGTTCATCTGAAAAGTTTGGGTTTTCCAGTAAAACAGAATGTGTTCAGTTTTGCTTCTTTGATTTTAACCACAGATCCCACTAAAGATCATATGTTTACTCTACAATGTGACTCTGTATCATATATTTTTACAAAAAGGTTATGCTGTAATATACTGTGTTGTGTTGTGCTATCTTATGCCAGGCTTTTTAGCCTAAACTATGTTATGCTATTATGTGCTATGATATTTCATTATCCTATGCGTCAAGTATGTTAACTCTATGTTTTGTTACAGTATTTTAAATGAATTGTCCCTA